GAAATAAAACAGCTTTAAAAAGAGACAAGAGACTTTTTATAAACTTTGGACCATTTCAGACTTAAAAACAGCGTTTCCTCAAGCATTATGAATCCATGGCACCATCCATTATTTCTCCAACTAGTGCCATTCTATTGGTAAATACTACAGTAGTGTCAGGCATTAGAATGAACCAAAGGCAAGGTAATATATAAATAAAATAAAAATAAATAAATAAATACAAATAAAATAAAATACAAACAAAACATATATATATATATATAATATATTTTCAGGAAACCCTTCAGAAATAGTTTTCAGTGTAGCCACTATTCAACTGTGTTAGTGATTTTTTTTTTTTTTCCCATTGTGATGTGTATTTACGAGACATCAGCTGTCTTTGCTGAGTATTTAGGTATTACTGGAAAATGCGTTGGCAGGACGTGATCTTGTTAACACCGTAGGAAGCCTAGGAGACGCTTTTTAGGCTTGGAGCTGACTGTGAGTAAGCATTCGATCCGCATGTAGAAGCCAACACCTACACAGAGCCAAGCCTCCTTAATTTCAGAGCACGTGTTGTTTGAGTTAAGCCCGGAGAGCTGCTGCCACCTTAAATATCTGCCTTCGCAAGAAAATCTTCTGGAACTGCAGCGGCGCTTCACTTCTATAAACACTGCCGTTCCGTTCCGCCGCCAGCAGAGCGCCGAGGCCAGGCGGGGGCTGCCCCTGACGCACGAGCGCGACACCGCGGCCAGGCCCTGCTCCCTCTCCGCCCCTGCCCGCCCCGGAGGCGGTGGCGCTCCCCGCCCGCTCCCGCCCCGCTGCGGGGGGCCGGGTAGGGCCGAGCAGGGTCGGGTGCTGCGCCGCGGCGACGAGGAGGGGAGCAGGGACTAGTGCGGGAGCGGGTGGGGTCTGCTGGGGAGGTGAGCGTGTGCCCACCGCGTGGGGTTTGTTCTAGGGGCTTCTGTAAGGTTTGTGGGCTTTTGCCATAGGGACGGGAATGGTCGGGGGGGACACGTTTGGCTATTCGGGGATCGCGCAATGAGTGACAAAATGCTTCTCTTTTGCGGTAGCTAGTTAGAGGTGGCGAAGCACCCCTCCTGCTCCCAAATTATGGGGAGGGGGTTTCGGAGACGTCTTGCTGATGGCCGCTTGGGCTCGGCTCGGCACGGCTCTGCCCCGCTGCTGGCGCCGCGGGCCGTTAGGATTGGGGTCCGCGAGGGCCAGGCTGCTCGCTGCGCCCTGCCTTCTGGACGGGCTGTTATGGTATCTTGAACGGGAAACAGCTTTTAATTCCATCACCCGGATGGTTTTTTTTAAGCATGCTGTGTTTCTGGAGTTGGGACTTAAATCCAGGGTATGGTTAGTCGGACATGGTGATCAAAAAAGTACCACAGAGCTACTTAGGGTGAACTAATGTGTGCTTTACAGGTATTCAGCATTCTGTTTTTCAAATCCTAAACCTTCTCAGAAAGGGCCTGTTTTGGTATTTAGGTGATGCTGTGCATGATGTCACTTGGGGGCTTGTGTTAGTGTGCTCGTGGCAGTATCTTACGCAGCAGGGTAAGAAATGAAAGTGGTGGTCATGAATGAAGCCGGTATTATTTTCCAGATAAAAAGCAGAAGCTCTGCAGTTAAGTGAATTAAGATGTCTCTAAATTAGTTGCAGCCTAGCTACAGACATTCATCAGGATAAGTGAGATTTGGAAAATGAGAAGCTGTGCGATGCAGTTCTTAAAACCAGAAAATGAACCATGGGTGTTCTTCTGTCCATTGAGAAGGAGCAAACAGTCTCAGGCTGTTCCCTTTTTATTGTTCTCTGAACTGGAACTGTTTTATTCTGATTTTGTTCAGAACCTTCATTTCCTTAGTTGCTTTTCTAGCAGGTTTTGGCTGACCCTTAGGTACTTGGGTTGAGACCTCCTGGGGAGGGAAAGCTGCTGTGTTCCGCATGTGGGTGCAGCTGAAGGCTGCTTCTGTGCCTGTTAGAGTAACGCTGCAGGAAAGGAAGGTTGGGTGTGTGCTGCCTTTGGGCTGTTGCAGCACTTTAGTGTGAGCTCTGAGAGCAGAGGGAAGAGCCTGGGAGCTCCCCAAGGGTGTGGACGAGGATGAACGGCACTGACCTAGACGGCGCAGCGCTTGAGGTATCGAGAGCGAGGCTTCCTGTGCCCCTGAGGCACATGTGGGGCTTGGGGCTGGTGTCCCTGCAGTGCACTGCTGTGGGCCCCCGAAGGAGCGGTCTGTTTGTGGGCTGGCTGGGCCCTGTCACTCACTTTTGACACTGAGGTGGTGGTGCTGGCTGTTCTGGGGGGGGTGGCTGGTAGCCAGGTGGTCCAGGGATGGCATTTCCTAAGGGCTGCTACTGGGGCAGCTGCTTTGTGAGAAGTGCTCTTGGTTTTCCTGCTACTTGCTTCCTGCCAGGGAGGTGGCTTCTGCTTTTGCCTGGATGAAGTTGAACCAAGAAACATAACTCCTCTGGCAGGGGGAGGATATTTATATCTCCTGTGAGGCCAGAGCTATAAGTTACAATGGGAATCTTAGCCAAAACAGGACAAAGCTTGAACAGAGTGGTGAGGCTTTTCCTGGCATGTGTTCCCTTCCCTAACCCAGGCCCAGAATAGCCCCAGCAGTGCTGGAGCCCCAGCCAGGTCCTCTCGTTGCCTGCCCTCCCATGGGGATGTGTGTGGGTGCCTCACGTGGTCCCATGGCATTTGAAGGACCCTTATAATCATAGCATAATTTAGGTTGGGAAGGCTTAAAGGTCATTTGGACCACCAGGTTCCTTCAGGCCTTTAGGCTTTTCAGGAAATGTATGCAAAGATACGCAGTTCCTGCTGCTGGGACATGAGCCAGGCTACTGCCTGCAGTGCATCTTGCTCTGGATTTATGTCCTGAATGCAGGTTGCTGCATGTGGCCAGCACAGCACAAGGGATTCATGCAGCTACTATTTTTGTTGGTATATTGGTATAAACCAGAAAATTCAGTGATGGGTATTTGCTGTAACTTTTAAGTCTGTGGAATTTTATCTCCATTACAAAGAATTAGCATTCTTCCTTCTTTTGTATTACCAACGTACTTTTACTTTTCTCTGCTCAGTAAATATGTTTCAGTGGTTGCTGCCTATATTTATTTAAAAACTGCTACTAGAGCTAGTACCACACAGCAGTATGTAAAGCTCTTTATTAAACCAAAATGAAGGCGTAGACTTTGAATCACAGATCTTACATTGCTCAGTGTAACTGAGGCAGCTAGGAACCAAGACATTTTTTTCAATGGAGCAATTGCCTTTTGCCTGTTGCTACATTTTCTTCACCAGTTAGGAATTTCCCTGTATGTAAGAAGGTTGCTGAACAACAAATTGTGTTATATAATGGCAGAGAAAAACGAATTTTTGTTCCTTTGGTACTTCATTTTTTTTGTTTGTTTGTTTCACAATCTTTTTAAACTAGTTGGATGAAAAGGAAGGTATGACTGACAGTGTTCTGTTAATCTTGGTGGCTGAATCAAAAGCCGTAGGAGTTGATAAAAAGCAATAGAAGAAAAGATCATGCTATTGAAAAAAATATCTCTTTAGCATCTTGTTAGATGAAATGGGGATTGAGCTCTGTAAAATCTTTATTGCTTTGCTATCTGTAGAGCACATTTCAACATTTTCTGAATCATATTGCACAAAGGAATGTATGTATGGCTGTAAAATAACTCATGATTCTGTCCCTATTTGCCATTTATGAAAGGGTTCAGTTGTAATTCTTAATGTTTCACTGAAATTCAAGTACATGGAATGTACTCACAGTGTAAACTGATAAACTGATCTTTTGCTAGTTAAAATAACAATTTTTTAAATCATCTTGAATTTGCGTATTCCTAAAAGCCGGAAGTTTTATCACCATATTTTAATATGGATGTAAATTAAACGTGTCACACTAGATTATCAACAGCAAGAACAAGGTTTAAGTTACATACTTTGAATGTGTTCTTTCAGGTTTTTTTCCTTTTTAGATTAGATGCATAATATCAAATAACTTCATATTACTGTTTTTTAAAACGTTATTCATACGAGACTAGAATCAAAATACATGTAACAGTGTGATGTTTTTGTTAGTAAGGTATGCTAGTACAGAAGAAAAAGTATATTAAAAAAACACTTTTAAAATTAATTATTAAACGACGAGGATGTGTGTAAGCTGTCAAGTGAGCTGGGTGCCATGTCATCCCACAACCATTCATCCTCTTGGATACAGGATGCTTCTGGGAGTCAGAAGCATGAAAGGAACTCTTTTCAGTTTCAGTTTAACTCCCAGCGTTGGATGAGCATGTTTGCTGGACTGAAATAATTGGATGAACTGTAGCAGACAAAATATATTACTAGGTTTTACTGTATTTTTTTTTTTTTTTTTTTTAAACTCTGGAGACCCTGGAAGAGTAGAAAGAAAAAGACAAACTTTTTCTGCTGGCATTCTGCTGTGGATACCCATTTGCCTGTGCAAGCCTACCTCTTATTATGTGTGGAGACAAAAATAAATAAATAAATTATATGTGATACTTGGTAGTACTGCTTCAAAAGTGGAATTGCATCAGCTGAGTAGGTGGCAGGTGTCACAGCTGCTTCAGGTTTTACCTAAGCAGGTTTTGTAGTCCACATCAATAATGAAACCAGTTGCCCTGAAATTACTGTTCCGTTTGTTCATATGAGTTGGCCAGTGGTTTTGGATAGTTGCACAATGTAGTCCTGCAGTCCAGTGAAATAACTGTACAACCTGATGCTTTCCGCTGAGTTGAGGATGATTTCAGGATACACAAAGCATGAATGCAGCAGGCAAAGATAATTCAGATTAATTTGTGGTAGAGGCTTAACCTAGAAGGAAACTGAGATATTTAAAGTTATGTTAGCTTGTATTTATAATTCATCTGTCCCATATAATTTAGACATGCAAATATCTTTGATCACTAATTTAATACTGCATAATACCACGCAAAAGTAATTCATTCAAAAATAATAAACATACATTTTGTTTTGCAGAGCAGTTATAAGCAGATCCACGGCAATGGAAGGTGAGTAAAATATAAACCAAATGTCGTCTTTTGTCATATCAAAGATAATAGGGTTTCTTCAGGAATGTTCAAGCAATATTAGCTTAGGTATAAGTTTGCCTATCTTATGATAGATGTTTGAATGATTTAAATTTTAAAATGGAATAATTTACAAAGTATATAGCTTACATTTTAAAATCTTAATTTCTGAGATTAAGTAAAAAATAAATAAATTAACCATATTGACATGCAGGCTACTTCTTCTTACAAGCTGACCTTGTTACTTAATCCATAACTCTGAGCCAGCTGGTGACGAATTAGCATGTTACAGGCTAGAAGAACTTGGGAGAAAATGTTTTATGTAGTGAAGAATGGCTCATTAACCAGTCTGTTCTGTACAGGAGTGCAGCCTGTCAGTTTGCTGCTAGTTCTTTGCATTAGAGCCTTCTTGTGAATATAAATGAACAAGGCCCTTCTGATCCAGACAGCAAGTGAGCTGACCCTGCTTGTCTGGGCTTTAGGTGACTTCCAGAGATTCCTTCCAGGCTGAAATGGTTCTGTGATAGCATGACATCAAGTGTAATGCCTGTCTGTTTTTCTGCACTTTAAGGGCCAGAACTCTTTTAAGTCATACTCTGCTTTAATACACATATTTTGCATAAAATATAAGCTTATTATATAGTTTTTGCTATTCAGAAAATAGCTTAATTTTTATGTATCTACTTTGAAGAAGGCAGCAGCTTGGGGATCTTTCCCCCTATGTGTAGGAGGAAATGAGCAATACTCAAAATATGTGTTGCATTCTTCTAGCACATAACCCTGCATCAGCACCTGGATTTGCAAATGTTGGCTATGCACAGGGAAATCAGGTCCCCTATGGCAACCCGCAGTATGCACCTGGGAATTTCCAGGGTATGTCGCTTGGCTACAGATCTGCTATTTTGTTAGGACATGGGGAGCAGGAGGTTTCACCAGAGCAGCCATCTTTGATTTACTTTTCTAATATTAATTCTGTAGAGTTTTTGGTAACTTCTATTTTGCTGAAAGTCTTACTCTTTTCTTGGTGTTATTGTGTGCTGAGCAGTGCCAGTAGCAGAAGTTTAAAATGCTGGATGTTCTTCCTCACAGGTCACCAGTTGGAGTTTGTTAGGGAGGTGTCACTGGTGCAAAGCAACCAATGTATGACAGCTTCTTGCTATTGATGAGGTTTTTTTTAAATTGAAGTGTTAGTTTATTTTTCTTCAGAAATCCAGAACTGAATAATTGTTATCCTTTCACAGTTCTCCTGGTCATGTGGATCCCATTCCTTTTTCCTACCCTTTTGCTGTACTTTGCACGTACACTTTCATTTCCTTTCCACTTTTTCTCTTATGTTCTGTATTCAAAACACAGCACTTGTAAATAGTTTCTCATGTCCTGGCATCTAACTGTCTTCTGAAGAACCAAATCACAATGAGCAACATCTAACAAGCTCTCAGAGCGTATGTTATGGATAAAGTGCAAAATGTTTTGCTTAGGTTTCTGCGTTGTATATAAGTTAAATCTTGTGTGTCTTGTAGCAAGGAAATCTGAGTTCTGCAAGTTCGCTAGACTTCAGCAAGGAATGAGCATGTGCTACCTGTACTACAAAGGTCAGGGGATCATATTTTTGTTCCAAATAATTGCGCACATACACTTACACAATGGTAGTCTGTGTGTGCAAGGCCTGTGCTCAGACGTACGAGGGAGTGTTACATAAGCGTGGTTCCTCACCAGAGGTGAGTGTTCCTGCTGGCTACAAGCTTTAAGCCGCTGTTCATCACCTGACTTATGGCCACAGCATCATCTTCCACATGTAATAGCCCATGTTTTGTAGTGTAGTATGAAACATTGGCGCTAAAGGTAAATCTATGAGTCAGCATCTCAAATTAGTTGTCTTTGTACAGCTCTACAAAAGTATTTGTGGTGGTTCCTACTTGTATTTTACTCGGAAGCACACAGAAACAAAATTCCTCTGCATCTGATTGAAGGTCTACTGGGTAGGGAAAATTTACAGTTCCTGTTTCATAACTTCCAGTAACAGCAGCATCAGCTGACCCAGCTGCAGGGGCCCAGGGCCGCTCCGTGCTGCGGGCGCCATCTGCAGGGCTGGGCGCTTACATGACGGGCCTGCTGCAGGAGTGCGGCTTGGAAAGCGCTGCCTTGGCCCTGGTAGGCCCTGGGGCTTTTTCCTTTGGTGTGCACCTCCTGCATGAGGGAGTTGTGAGTTTTGGGTGAGAATCCCCTGAATTCAACAAGCGGGAATGTACAGGTTTTCGATCCCACTCATTTAGTTTTAAGCTGGAGGTGAATTTTGCAGAAAGGACATTTCTTATCATGTAAGTAGAAGGTGTATTCTAGGAAAACTGTCTTAAAATTCGTCTGGTATTCATAAGTTGTCAACTGAGCAAATACTTTTCCTGTATTGTAATGTATTGTGTCATCTTTACTTATAAATAAATAGGATTATTTCTTTTTTTTTTGTGTGAATAAAATTTCTACTATATACAAGAGTAACATATTTGTTTATTTAACTTGTTTTTGTCTGGAGGGATTAGAACATCCCCGTCCATCATGAGTTTCTTGGGTCTGAGGATCTTCATGCTTCAGAAAAGTAAACAAGTCTTTTTGAAGATCCATGGTGCAGCAAGACCAAAGTTTCCTAACTGTATTTCTCCTTATGCTTAGGTGGTGCCGGAGCAGGGCCTTATGGTTTCCAGGCACAGCCCATGGGAGGCCCACCTGGTCTGGGTGGTCCACCCATCCAGAACCATCCCACTGCTAAGGACGGGACAATCTGGATGCCCATCCCTCCTCCTCTTCCCAACTGCCCTCCCGGGCTGGAATACCTCACACAGGTACCTGCGGCCTTCCTCCTTCCCCAGGGAACAGGTGGTCACCTGAGAAGCAGCCTACATCTGTGGGAAAGCTAAAGAACACACCTGCCTTTGTTGCATCTGTCTTTTGGGCTGCTAAGTAAGGCCTTTTTTAATGTGAGTAATGCACTTTTGAATGTGGAGGTGCCTGTTACGGCCAGAGTACATTTTGGGGTACCTGTGCTCCTTCCAAGTGAGATGCTGAAGGGCAGGGGGCTTGGATGTATTATACGTCTTTCCTGTTTCTAAAGCTACTGTTCATGAGAAGTAATGTGATTTGGCAAGGTGTTTAGAACAGATACGTATAATGTGGGTACCGGTAGCACCTTAGAGGTGCTTTCTTTTCTGTGTGATGCTTTCTCAGACACTAGTCAAGCTTCACAAACTTAGAGAATGTTCATTAGCAAAATGAGAGTTGCTCCCATGTTGCAGGATAAACTCTTGTACCGTAAAAGCATGGTTTGTCTTATTACTGGTACTTAATACCAATATATTGCCAGTTTTGCAAATTGCTCTAAAGGGGGGAAAAAAGCTTCCTGAGTTTCATTCAGAGCTGAGCTTCTGCTCTAAAATCTCTGAATTTCATGCTAGTGACTCCTGCTTTTCTCTGTACAAATTCACAGAATCACAGAATCTCTAGGTTGGAAGAGACCTCAAGATCATCGAGTCCAACCTCTGACCTAACACTAACAGTCCCCACTAAACCATATCCCTAAGTTCTACATCTAAACGTCTTTTGAAGACTTCCAGGGATGGTGACTCAACCACCTCCCTGGGCAGCCTGTTCCAATGTCTAACAACCCTTTCAGTAAAGAAATTCTTCCTAACATCTAACCTAAAACTCCCCTGGCGCAACTTTAGCCCATTCCCCCTCGTCCTGTCACCAGGCACATGGGAGAACAGGCCAACCCCCATCTCGCTAGAGCCTCCTTTAATATACTTATACAGAGTGATAAGGTCACCCCTGAGCCTCCTTTTCTCTAGGCTGAACAAGCCCAGCTCCTTCAGCCGCTCCTCGTAGGACTTGCTCTCCAGGCCCCTCACCAGCTTCGTCGCCCTTCTCTGGACCCGCTCAAGCACCTCGATGTCCTTCTTGTAGCGAGGGGCCCAGAACTGAACACAGTACTCGAGGTGCGGCCTCACCAGAGCCAAGTACAGGGGGACGATCACCTCCCTAGCCCTGCTGGTCACAGTGTTTCTGATACAAGCCAGGATGCCGTTGGCCTTCTTGGCCACCTGAGCACACTGCTGGCTCATATTCAGCCGACTGTCCACCATCACTCCCAGGTCCTTCTCTGCCTGGCAGCTCTCCAGCCATTCCTCTCCCAGCCTGTAGCTCTTCTTGGGGTTATTGCGCCCCAGGTGCAGGACCCGGCACTTGGCCTTGTTAAACTTCATACAGTTGACCTCAGCCCATCGGTGCAGCCTATCCAGATCCTCCTGCAGAGCCTTCCTACCCTCAAGCAGATCGACACACGCACCTAGCTTGGTGTCATCTGCAAACTTACTGAGGGTGCACTCAATGCCCTCATCCAGATCATTGATGAAGATATTAAAGAGGACCGGCCCCAGCACCGAGCCCTGGGGGACGCCACTAGTGACTGGCCTCCAACTGGACTTGGCTCCATTTACCACAACTCTCTGGGCCCGGCTATCCAGCCAGTTTCTAACCCAACGAAGCGTGCGCCAGTCCAAGCCAAGAGCAGCCAGTTTCTTGAGGAGAATGCTGTGGGAAACGGTGTCAAAAGCCTTGCTGAAGTCAAGGTAGACCACATCCACAGCCTTTCCCTCGTCCACCCAGCGCGTCACTTTGTCGTAGAAGGAGATCAGGTTCGTCAAGCAGGATCTGCCTTCCATAAACCCATGCTGACTGGGCCTGATCGCCTGCTTGCCCTTCAAGTGCCGCATGATGACTCCCAAGAGGATCTGCTCCATGAGCTTCCCTGGTACTGAGGTCAAACTGACCGGCCTGTAGTTCCCCGGGTCTGCCCTCCGGCCCTTCTTGTAGATGGGTGTCACGTTTGCTAGCCGCCAGTCAGCTGGGACCTCCCCCAATAGCCAGGACTGCTGATAAATGATGGATAGGGGCTTGGCCAGCTCCTCTGCCAGTTCTCTCAGTACCCTTGGGTGGATCCCATCCGGCCCCATCGACTTGTGCACATCCAAGTGCCGTAGCAGGTCACCAACCAGTTCTTCGTGGATGGTGAGGGCCACATCCTGCTCCCCGTCCCCTTCCACCAGTTCTGGGTACTGGGTATCCAGAGAGCAACCGGTTTTACCACTAAAGACTGAGGCAAAGAAGGCATTGAGCACCTCCGCCTTTTCCTCATCTCTTGTAACTAAGTTTCCCCCCGCATCCAGTAAAGGATGGAGATTCTCCTTAGTCCTCCTTTTTGTGTTGATGTATTTATAAAAGCGTTTTTTGTTATCTTTAACGGCAGTAGCCAGCTTGAGCTCCAGATGAGCTTTGGCCTTCCTAATTTTGTCCCTGCACAGCCTCGCTACATCCTTATAGTCCTCCCTAGTGGCCTGCCCAATTTTCCAAAGATTATAAACCCTCTTTTTCCTCCTAAGCTCAAGCCACAATTCTCTGTTGAGCCAGGCTGGTCGTCTTCCCCGCTGGCTCATCTTTGGGCACATGGGGATAGACCGCTCCTGTGCCATTAGGATTTGCCTCTTGAATAGCACCCAGCCTTCCTGAACCCCTCTGCCCTTCAGAACCGCCTCCCATGGGACTCCACCAACCAGTGTCCTGAGCAGCCTAAAGTCAGCCCTCCGAAAGTCCAATACAGTGGTTTTACTGGTTCCCTTCCTGGCCCCGCCAAGAATAGAGAACTCCACCATTTCGTGGTCACTCTGCCCAAGACTGTTCCCGACAATCACATCCTCCACCAGTCCTTCTCTGTTTGTGAAGAGAAGGTCTAGCAGGGCACCACCCCTGGTAGGTTCACTAATCAGCTGCGTCAGGAAGCTATCTTCCACTTTCTCCAGAAACCTCCTAGACTGCTTCCTCTGGGCTGTGTTGTGCTTCCAGGATATGTCTGGGAAGTTGAAGTCCCCCACGAGTACAAGCGCTGACGATTTCGCAACTTCTGTCAGCTGCCTGTAGAACTCCTCATCCGTCTCCTCATCCTGGTTCGGCGGTCTATAGCAGACCCCGACCAGGACACTAGCCTTGTTGTCCCTGCCGATCCTAACCCAAAGGGACTCGATCTTGTCATTCCTAGCCTCGAGTTCTACAACATCGAAAGACTCTCTAATATAGAGAGCCACACCGCCACCCCTTCCATGCTGCCTGTCCCTTCTGAAGAGCCTATAGCCAGGCATCGCAGCACTCCAGTCATGAGACTGGTCCCACCACGTTTCCGTGATGGCAACCAAGTCGTAGCCTGCCCGCTGCACGATGGCTTCCAGCTCCTCCTGTTTGTTACCCATGCTGCGTGCATTGGTGTAGATGCACTTCAGCTGGGCCTTTACCTTATCCTCCGGCCTTGCCACTGCTCCCCCTGGTACAGCCCCAACAGTCCTCGCTCCAGCCCCATCCCCCTTCTTACCTAGTTTAAAGCCCTATCAATGAGCCCCGCCAGCTCCTGGCCCAGGATCCTTTTTCCCCTAAAGGATAGGGACCCGTCTACGGCCACCAGACCAGGTGCTGAGTAAACTGCCCCATGGTCGAAAAACCCAAGATTTCTGCGTAGGCACCAGCCCCGGAGCCACGTGTTTAACAGGTGGGCTTTCGTTGTCCTCTCCGTACCCCTCCCTGTCAACGTAGGGACGGACGAAAAAACTACTTGCACTCCTGCTCCGTCCACTAACCGTCCCAGTCCCCTAAAGTCTCTTTTGATAGCCTTCAGGCTTCTGTTGTCAATGTCATCAGTGCCCGCCTGGATTATCAGGAGCGGATAATAATCAGAGGGGCGCACCAGGTTGGGGAGCTTCCTGGCCACGTCCCTGACCCTGGCCCCAGGGAGGCAGCAGACTTCCCTACGGGTAGGGTCAGGCCGACAAATAGGGCCCTCTGTCCCCCTAAGGACAGAGTCTCCCACGACAATCACCCTTCTTTCTTTCTTGGTGGAGGCAGTTCTGATGCATGGAGTCGACCTCCTCGCCCTAGGCATCCTCCTGGGAACACTTTCTATCTCTTCCTCAGCTACCGGTCTCTCAATCTCCAGGGCCTCAAACCTGTTTTGTAAGGGCACCTGGGAAGGTGGGGCCGGAGGGGGAGGGCATCGCCTGCCACGTCGCACAGGGACCTGTCTCCACTCCTCCTCAGCTCCCAGATCCCCTCCCTCAGCCCGACGGCGACAGGGCAAGGGGTCCACCCCCGTTAGGGGTGTCTCACCCCGGTACCTCTCCTTGATGCCCTGCAGGGAGTTGCTCCAGAAGTCAATCTCCCGCTCACACTCCCTGATGGCCCTCAGCCTCTCCACCTCCTCCTTGAGCTCCGCCACCATGCGGACCAGGTCATCCACCTGCTCACACCTCACACACGCAGCGTCTCTGCCTCCCGTTGATGGCAGCAGCAGGCTCTGACACTCCCTGCATCCGTTGACCTGAACCGCTGCATTCCTTAACAGGCAGTCGGTCTGGGTGTGTACCGACCTCCTGCAGAGCGCTAACTGCGCTCCACACCACACATCCCAGATAACTTCCTGACGTAGTTATCTGGGATGTGTGGTGTTCAAGGATTTGTTAGCCTCTGTAGCAATGCTGAGATACACTACGTCCTGAAAGGATCACAGGCACGTTCATCCTGTGTGCTTGTAACCAGACCAGCTTGGGTACAGCACCATCTTCTGTGATGCTCTGAAACACTGTTCTCCTCTACTGACAGAGGACAGGACAGGGAGGACGTGAGCCATGTCCACAGCTTTGCTAGTAGACAATCAGTCTCTAGGCAATGTATTGCTCCATAAATCTGCATTCTGAAAAAAAAACAACAATGCTTCTTAAAACTAGATTTCTCTTATTAACTGTTTATTTTGTTTCATTTTTCAACCATGAACAGATTGACCAGATATTAATTCATCAGCAAACCGAACTTCTTGAGGGTAAGTGAAAAGTGTTTATCACAGAGAAAATATTTAAATCTAAGAGTCCCCAAAACTCTAAAGTATAGACTTTCTTTGATGCTACTTGTTTAAAATAGATCCTTTCATGGATTGCTCCCTCTCTCTTTCCTGCCTCTTATCTGTCTTAATTCCCACAGAACTTGTGGAGGAGAGGAGGGAAGAAGAAAACAGGAGGGTAGAAAAAGATTTTAAACTGGTTCTGTAGCTTAAAAGATACACAGCAATGCTGTGTATCTGCTGAGTAATCTTTGTAACCAGTTGTAGCTGAAATCACTAATCTCCCATGCTATTCATTCATGGTTGCAGCTTTCCTCTCTTTACTACTTAAAGATCTTTTTATGTCTCCTCTTGCCCCATCTAAGTCATTTGGCTGGCATGCTGCTCCAATTCCATTTCCAGGCAGTCTTGCTCTTCTAGTTTATTGAACTACTTTCCTTCTGCTCCTGTCATTCTGTTCACTTTAAGAATATCAAAGTTGTGTTATCAGTGTATTTCAAACAGAATAAATGAAATGGACCTTCCATCTTAGCGGACACCTAATGCTGCTGCTTTTGCTTTCCATAATATTTCAAGGGAACTTCTATTTGTTGGAGAAATTAATCAAAATTTCAGCCCTAGTTCTTGCTATTTTCTATTTGTGCTGCTTTAAATCTTGACTGTGAGGCCTTTTCGTGGCTTTCTCATTCTGAACATATTCATGCCCTCTGGATCCCTGTTCTTGCTTCACCACTAAACTTAAAATTGTTCCTAATTTTCACACCTTCAGCTCTTCCCTAGGAACCTTCCATGCTGCGTGACTTAGAGTGGCAGTGCTCGCTCTGGCAGTGGGTGCCCATGTCTGGTGGGAGGAGAGCTGATAGACATTTCTGTGTTCTTTCTATGTTGCCGTGTTCATGATGGCTTGTCCTCACTGAACTTCTCTGTGGGGCTGGCCTGCTTGAGGGCCCTTTGCCAGTAGCTGCCTCTGACAGACTCCAAATGAGACCTTCCCAAACAGTAGTGTAGAAGTAGCATGGTGGCTTTTCTTACTGTTTTTCACACAGACACACCTAACAAAACAGTTAATTCCTTACTATTTTTCAGTTTTACTGGGATTTGAATCAAACAACAAATATGAAATCAAGAATACGTTGGGGCAAAGGATATACTTTGCGGTAGAGGACACTGACTGCTGTACAAGGAACTTCTGTGGGCCATCACGACCTTTCACCATACGGGTTATGGACAATCTGGGTCGTGAGGTGATAACACTGCAGAGACCCCTGAGGTGTTCGCCAGGTTGTTTCCCCTGCTGCCTACAGGAGGTGAATTGTTCCCTCAGTATATGGGATGATTTTGTTTTTCATGTTAATAATTATGGGATGTTGCAACTTCTGAGGCTTCAAATCTGAGTTTACTCAGAGCTTTTACTGATGAGTTTGTAGTAGCTGCTTTCTGCGAGGTATTCACTGAATGCTTTCAGGATGTCCAGAGTATTTTCTTTACTAGACTTAAATCATTCCACTGCAGACATATAGCTTGTATGTTCTATAGCCTTAGGAGTATGCTTCTGCTTTCAGTGAGGGCAGAAGTTGCATTTGGATTTGCGGTTCTGTAGTTTTCATAAAACAATGCAGCTTCATTAGAATTTTTCACTGGATTGTTGTGGAAAAATAAACTGTGCTTGGTCTGTGGGTTAGTGTGGGTTTTTGTCTAACAAACATATCAAAGCATGAACTGCTTCACATGGGGGGATTTCTTTCTCCTGTGAAGTTAGAAATTCAAGCACCTCCAGGAACACCAGTTGGTTATGTTGTCCAGAACTGGCATCCCTGCCTACCCAAGTTCACTATTCAAGATGAGAGAAGAATGGATGTACTGAAAATTAGTGGCCCGTGTGTTGTCTGCAGCTGTTGTAAGGATGTTAATTTTGAGGTATGCAATGCAAAAATTGTTTGTGTATATCTTCTTTCAGATAATTTGACAATAGTTTGTTGCTTCACTTACTATCAGTCAGCTGTACTGTAGTATGTATTAAGTAAGGAGAACATAATATTTTAATGCTAATACAATAAATTCACTTCTCTAGATCATTCTAAGTAAGCCAGCTAAATTTCCAGAAATGGCATCTTATGGCAAATCATCAGTGATCTGTGATTGCACACAAGGAATCAGATGGATTTGTAATGGATATATTTAATGCAAAATCTTTTGAATCCATTATGTTAGTTCCTAGCAACAAAAAAAGTTATTTTCTGTATCAGCTGTTTATTAAAATGACCTTCTGCAACCACTCATTCAATCATGTAATAATAATTCAGTAACAAGTAAATGGACATTATTTATAGCTGAAACTTTAACTAGAATGAGTGAAGAATTACAACTTTCATTTAAAAATAAGGTATTGATGCATCAGTATTTTCATACAGATTAACTAGTAGACACTAGTCTACTGCATTGTTTAAAGTGATGTTGTGGATCACTGCTAAACCAAATCTAGTATGATTTTATTTTGTGGATTAGTCTTTCACGCTATTCAGAACACAGGGTACAATTTCAGGAAAAGTGTTAACCTCTGCTTTGGAACAGGAGAATGTAATTTGTTTGATTTTTCACTTGAGCCATTCCTGAGGTATGGGAGGAGAAACTAATTCACTCTCTTGGCTAAAAGACAACATTCCCAATGGAATGTGTGCATGCTTGCATGCAGTAGCTGTCCTCCAGTACTGTTAAAACATTGAACATTGCAGTCAGATTTAGAATTAGATATCTTAATTCAGACTGACTTTCTGATAGTCAGGGTTGTTTTTCTATACAAATGGCTGCATTCAGTGACTGCGTTAATTTAAATAACACAATTTAAAGCTTTCTGTTAGATCTATAATGAAAATAATTTGGGAATATTGTAAATGATGGAATTGTTGCTGTTTTTTTTTTTGTTTATTAAACCAGGTGAAGACTTTGGATGAGATTTCTACCATTGGGAAGATTTCTAAGCAGTGGATTGGATTTTTGAAAGAAGCATTTACAGACGCAGATAACTTTGGAGTTGCATTCCCAGTGGACCTTGATGTAAAAATTAAAGCAGTCATGATTGGTGCTTGCTTTCTTATTGTAAGTCTGTAGTTCACTAATCCTCGAATATGAACTGACTTCTTCGTCTGAGCATTCAAACTGTGCTTGGTAGAGTTTGACTCTGAGCTTTTCAAAGTGAGTGAGGGTTTGTTGTGGACTTCCTGTGCGTAAAGCTAACCCTGGAGGAAGTGCAACAAAGAAGCATTTCAGATAATCTTATTTTAGACTACATGAAGTGCTAACTGTATTTAAGAACGGCTTCATGTGTTAGGATTGAGAAATCCTATAAAAGGAAGACTACTTTACAGACTCTTTAGAGGTGAGCATGTTTATGTGGATGGTGAGACCAGAAAAGTGCAGATCAGCAATAGCCAAGAGACTCAACCAAAGCCAGAACAGTTCACTTCAAAAGTGCACTGTTTCCATGTTGGCAGGGCTCAAGAGGGAGAAGAAAGGTACATACACAGCATCTGCGTTTGGAAAATTCTCACCAGTTTTTACAGCCCAGCTCATGAACCAGGTTTTCTTTAGCTGTGTGTGTTCAGGTGCTATGATGTACGTGAAGAGTAGTGAGTACGAATGAGGACTCCAGGCACAGAAGATGTGCTTTTCCCCTTCCTCTCCTGTAAACTAAAGATAATGGCAATTATGATAGATTCCAGCTTGAGGTGAAATTGAAGAGACTGAGTCAGGCTGAAGGAAGACAGGATGGAAATCCTAAGGAAGTATAATTTACGTTAGTGATAATTTTAGTTTCCATCTAGTTTCCATCTGCATAGTTTCTGAATAGTTTCCATCTGCAGCTTTCACCACTTCTTTCTCTCTCTGTGGATATCATTTTACCTCTACATGACACCCAGGGATAGGGGCTGGAGAGGGGTACCCCCAGCTGCTTCTCATCATCCGAAGTTTCTGAGGGGAAGGCGCTTTGAATATCTTGCAAAATAACCACAAACTAAGAACCAGATTTTAAAAATGCTGATTTTGTTTGCTTTTTGTTTTCTTAGGATTTCATGTATTTTGAGCATTATTGGTGATAACCTGCAGCAAACAGGAGTGTGGAAGTGAAACCCAGAACTTTTTATTTAGAATGAAGGAAATAAACCACCCAGCTTTCCAGTGGGTTGCAGAGCTCCCGTGAGAGTATGAAAAATATATATCTTGTGCTTGTAATTATATTTCTATAAACTCTATAAAGAGCTTTATTTTCTAGATTCTGTTTTTGTAATCTAATCATATTATTTGTAGTATTAAAATAAGCACCCTTTGCCTGTACAGATAAATACTGTAGTGTATAACAATGTATAGTAACCTTTTTCCAAGAAATTTGGAATTGTTTATTAAAAATTTTTATTGTAATTCCTAAAAAAAACCAAAACAAAACAAAAAAAAAAACCTACTTTTTTTGTTCTATATTAATATAAGCATTCAGCCTAATAAAGAGGTCCTGACATAAGGAGTGTGAGAAACACTCCGTAGCCAATAACTTAGGCTCAGGCGAGGATCTCAGTGAAGTAGTAATTTATTCGCGATTGCAATGGCGGGCACCCCACAAGCAGGAGAGAGCGCATCTACTAGTTCCAAAACACAGTTTATATACCTTTTGATGGCAGGACCCTCCCCTGTTTCCCCACTGAGTGGGTAATCCAGGTTCATGATCTATCTGATGCTTCACAAACAATGCATGGCCTTCAGTTGCCGGCCTGTTAAATTTCAATTTTCTTTTGACATTTTTACTGCTTGAAGTGCTAATGTTTCTTCACTTATCTGACTTGACTTGACACCGTGATTTTCACCTAATTGTCCTAAGGAGTCTGGTTGTCTGCATTTTACAAGGTTGCCTGCTTTCTTATCACTGTAAGCATATCTCAGTACCACATTCCCTCCTTCTAAACAATGTAACTCTGCAAAAACAACATTTCTATTCCCACACACACATATATAGTATGGTAGGCCTTTGGGTCCCAAACTCCAGGTGTTCTTACATGAGGGACCACCAGCAGCTCTCCTTCATCACTGATGGGCTATTAACAGATTAAAGTCTGTGTGGCTCCACAGACTTTACATGGAAACAGGAAAGTACAGTAAATTTTGGTCCACCCACAAAATCTGTTCGTATACAGGCAGTTTTGAAGTTAAAGTGTTCTCTGTCTTTCTTGGCCTAATATAATACGGGCCCCCTTTCCTTACCATATTTCTCGCAATCATGTTCTGCGTCTGGAGTATGCATCATGAAGCTCATCAGAAAGAGACAAGAGACTTTTTATAAACTTTGGACCATTTCAGACTTAAAAACAGCATTTCCTCAAGCATTATGAATCCACGGCACCATCCATTATTTCTCCAACTAGTGCCATTCTATTGGTAAGTACTGCAGTAGTGTCAGGCATTAGAATGAACCAAAGGCAAGGTAATATATAAATAAAATAGAAATAAATAAATAAATACAAATAAAATAAAATACAAACAAAACCTATATATATATATCTCATATATTTTCAGGAAACCCTTCAGAAATAGTTTTCAGTGTAGCCACTATTCAACTGTGTTAGTGATTTTTTTTTTTTCCCATTGTGATGTGTATTTACGAGACATCAGCTGTCATTGCTGAGTATTTAGGTATTACTGGAAAATGCGTTGGCAGGACGTGATCTTGTTAACACCGTAGGAAGCCTAGGAGACGCTTTTTAGGCTTGGAGCTGACTGTGAGTAAGCATTCGATCCGCATGTAGAAGCCAACACCTACACAGAGCCAAGCCTCCTTAATTTCAGAGCACGTGTTGTTTGAGTTAAGCCCGGAGAGCTGCTGCCACCTTAAATATCTGCCTTCGCAAGAAAATCTTCTGGAACTGCAGCGGCGCTTCACTTCTATAAACACTGCCGTTCCGTTCCGCCGCCAGCAGAGCGCCGAGGCCAGGCGGGGGCTGCCCCTGACGCACGAGCGCGACACCGCGGCCAGGCCCTGCTCCCTCTCCGCCCCTGCCCGCCCCGGAGGCGGTGGCGCTCCCCGCCCGCTCCCGCCCCGCTGCGGGGGGCCGGGTAGGGCCGAGCAGGGTCGGGTGCTGCGCCGCGGCGACGAGGAGGGGAGCAGGGACTAGTGCGGGAGCGGGTGGGGTCTGCTGGGGAGGTGAGCGTGTGCCCACCGCGTGGGGTTTGTTCTAGGGGCTTCTGTAAGGTTTGTGGGCTTTTGCCATAGGGACGGGAATGGTCGGGGGGGGCACGTTTGGCTATTCGGGGATTGCGCAATGAGTGACAAAATGCTTCTGTAGCGGTAGCTAGTTAGAGGTGGCGAAGCACCCCTCCTGCTCCCAAATTATGGGGAGGGGGTTTCGGAGACGTCTTGCTGATGGCCGCTTGGGCGAGCTGCGGGTGGCAGGCGCGGCTCGGGCGGTGGTCGCGGGGGCTCGGCTCGGCACGGCTCTGCCCCGCTGCTGGCGCCGCGGGCCGTTAGGATTGGGGTCCGCGAGGGCCAGGCTGCTCACTGCGCCCTGCCTCCTGGACGGGCTGTTCCGGTATCTTGAACGGGAAACAGCTTTTAATTCCATCACCCGGATGTTTTTTTTTAAGCATGCTGTGTTTCTGGAGTTGGGACTTAAATCCAGGGTATGGTTAGTCGGACATGGTGATCAAAAAAGTACCACAGAGCTACTTAGGGTGAACTAATGTGTGCTTTACAGGTATTCAGCATTCTGTTTTTCAAATCCTAAACCTTCTCAGAAAGGGCCTGTTTTGGTATTTAGGTGATGCTGTGCATGATGTCACTTGGGGGCTTGTGTTAGTGTGCTCATGGCAGTATCTTACGCAGCAGGGTAAGAAATGAAAGTGGTGGTCATGAATGAAGCCGGTATTATTTTCCAGATAAAAAGCAGAAGCTCTGCAGTTAAGTGAATTAAGATGTCTCTAAATTAGTTGCAGCCTAGCTACAGACATTCATCAGGATAAGTGAGATTTGGAAAATGAGAAGCTGTGCGATGCAGTTCTTAAAACCAGAAAATGAACCATGGGTGTTCTTCTGTCCATTGAGAAGGAGCAAACAGTCTCAGGCTGTTCCCTTTTTATTGTTCTCTGAACTGGAACTGTTTTATTCTGATTTTGTTCAGAACCTTCATTTCCTTAGTTGCTTTTCTAGCAGGTTTTGGCTGACCCTTAGGTACTTGGGTTGAGACCTCCTGGGGAGGGAAAGCTGCTGTGTTCCGCATGTGGGTGCAGCTGAAGGCTGCTTCTGTGCCTGTTAGAGTAACGCTGCAGGAAAGGAAGGTTGGGTGTGTGCTGCCTTTGGGCTGTTGCAGCACTTTAGTGTGAGCTCTGAGAGCAGAGGGAAGAGCCTGGGAGCTCCCCAAGGGTGTGGATGAGGATGGATGGCACTGACCTAGATGGCGCAGCGCTTGAGGTATTGAGAGTGAGGCCTTCTGTGCCCCTTCATCTCGCAAGTGCTGAGGCACGTGTGGGGCTTGGGGCTGGTGTCCCTGCAGTGCACTGCTTTGGGCCCCCGAAGGAGCGGTCTGTTTGTGGGGTGGCTGGGCCCTGTCACTCACTTTTGACACTGAGGTGGTGGTGCTGGCTGTTCTGGGGGGGGCGGCTGGTAGCCAGGTGGTCCAGGGATGGCATTTCCTAAGGGCTGCTACTGGGGCAGCTGCTTTGTGAGAAGTGCTCTTGGTTTTCCTGCTACTTGCTTCCTGCCAGGGAGGTGGCTTCTGCTTTTGCCTGGATAAAGTTGAACCAAGAAACATAACTCCTCTGGCAGGGGGAGGATATTTATATATTTATATCTCCTGTGAGGCCAGAGCTATAAGTTACAATGGGAATCTTAGCCAAAACAGGACAAAGCTTGAACAGAGTGGTGAGGCTTTTCCTGGCATGTGTTCCCTTCCCTAACCCAGGCCCAGAATAGCCCCAGCAGTGCTGGAGCCCCAGCCAGGTCCTCTCGTTGCCTGCCCTCCCATGGGGATGTGTGTGGGTGCCTCACGTGGTCCCATGGCATTTGAAGGACCCTTATAATCATAGCATAATTTAGGTTGGGAAGGCTTAAAGGTCATTTGGACCACCAGGTTCCTTCAGGCCTTTAGGCTTTTCAGGAAATGTATGCAAAGATACGCAGTTCCTGCTGCTGGGACATGAGCCAGGCTACTGCCTGCAGTGCATCTTGCTCTGGATTTATGTCCTGAATGCAGGTTGCTGCATGTGGCCAGCACAGCACAAGGGATTCATGCAGCTACTATTTTTGTTGGTATATTGGTATAAACCAAAAAATTCAGTGATGGGTATTTGCTGTAACTTTTAAGTCTGTGGAATTTTATCTCCATTACAAAGAATTAGCATTCTTCCTTCTTTTGTATTACCAAAGTACTTTTACTTTTCTCTGCTCAGTAAATATGTTTCAGTGGTTGCTGCCTATATTTATTTAAAAACTGCTACTAGAGCTAGTACCACACAGCAGTATGTAAAGCTCTTTATTAAACCAAAATGAAGGTGTAGACTTTGAATCACAGATCTTACATTGCTCAGTGTAACTGAGGCAGCTAGGAACCAAGACATTTTTTTCAATGGAGCAATTGCCTTTTGCCTGTTGCTACATTTTCTTCACTAGTTAGGAATTTCCCTGTATGTAAGAAGGTTGCTGAACAATAAATTGTGTTATATAATGGCAGAGAAACGAATTTTTGTTCCTTTGGTACTTCATTTTTTTTGTTTGTTTGTTTCACAATCTTTTTAAACTAGTTGGATGAAAAGGAAGGTATGACTGACAGTGTTGTGTTAATCTTGGTGGCTGAATCAAAAGCCGTAGGAGTTGATAAAAAGCAATAGAAGAAAAGATCATGTTATTGAAAAAATATCTCTTTAGCATCTTGTTAGATGAAATGGGGATTGAGCTCTGTAAAATCTTTATTGCTTTGCTATCTGTAGAGCACATTTCAACATTTTCTGAATCATATTGCACAAAGGAATGTATGTATGGCTGTAAAATAACTCATGATTCTGTCCCTATTTGCCATTTATGAAAGGGTTCAGTTGTAATTCTTAATGTTTCACTGAAATTCAAGTACATGGAACGTCTCACAGTGTAAACTAATAAACTGATCTTTTGCTGGTTAAAATAACAATTTTTTAAATCATCTTGAATTTGCGTATTCCTACAAGCCAGAAGATTTGTCACCATATTTTAATATGGATGTAAATTAAACGTGCCATACTAGATTATCAACAGCAAGAACAAGGTTTAAGTTTCATACTTTGAATGTGTTCTTTCAGTTTTTTTTTCCTTCTTAGATTAGATGCATAATATCAAATAATTTCATATTACTATTTTTTTTTAAACCTTATTCATACGAGACTAGAATCAAAATACATGTAACAGTGTGATATTTTTGTTAGTAAGGTATGCTAGTACAGAAGAAAAAGTATATTAAAAAAGAACACTTTTAAAACTAATTATTAAACGACGAGGATGTGTGTAAGCTGGCAAGTGAGCTGGGTGCTATATCATCCCACAACCATTCATCCTCTTGGATACAGCTTTTGCTGTGGGAGTCAGAAACATGAAGGAACTCATTTCAGTTTAACTCCCAGCATTGGATGAGCATGTTTGCTGGACTGAAATAATTGGATGAACTGTAGCAGACAAAATATATTACTAGGTTTTACTGTTTGTTTTTTTTTTTTTGTTGTTGTTGTTTTTTTTTTTTTAACTCTAGAGACCCTGGAAGAGTAGAAGGAAAAAGACAAACAGCTGGCCCTTTTCCTCCTGGCATTCTGCTGTGGATACCCATTTGCCTGCGCAAGCCCACCTCTTATTATGTGTGGAGACAAAAATAAATAAATAAATCATATGTGATACTTGGTAGTACTGCTTCAAAAGTGGAATTGCATCAGCTGAGTAGGTGGCAGGTGTCACAGCTGCTTCAGGTTTTACCTAAGCAGGTTTTGTAGTCCACATCAATAATGAAACCAGTTGCCCTGAAATTACTGTTCCATTTGTTCATATGAGCTGCCCAGTGGTTTTGGATAGTTGCACAATGTAGTCCTGCAGTCCAGTGAAATAACTGTACAACCTGATGCTTTCCACTGAGTTGAGGATGATTTCAGGATACACAAAGCATGAATGCAGCAGGCAAAGATAATTCAGATTAATTTGTGGTAGAGGCTTAACCTAGAAGGAAACTGAGATATTTAAAGTTATTTTAGCTTGTATTTACAATTCGTCTGTCCCATATAATTTAGACATGCAAATACCTTTGATCACTAATTTAAGACTGCATAATACCATGCAAAAGTAATTCATTCAAAAATAATAAACGTATATTTTGTTTTGCAGAGCAGTTATAAGCAGATCCACGGCAATGGAAGGTGAGTAAAATATAAACCAAATGTCGTCTTTTGTCATATCAAAGGTAATAGGGTTTCTTCAGGGATGTTCAAGTAATATTAGCTTAGGTATAAGTTTGCCTATCTTATGATAGATGTTTGAATGATTTAAATTTTAAAATGGAATAATTTACAAAGTATATAGCTTACATTTTAAAATCTTAATTTCTGAGGTTAAGTAAAAAATAAATAAATTAACCATATTGACATGCAGGCTACTTCTTCTTACAAGCTGACCTTGTTACTTAATCCATAACTCTGAGTCAGCTGGTGACGAATTAGCATGTTACAGGCTAGAAGAACTTGGGAGAAAATGTTTTATGTAGTGAAGAATGGCTCATTAACCAGTCTGTTCTGTACAGGAGTACAGCCTGTCAGTTTGCTGCTAGTTCTTTGTGTTAAAGCCTTCTTGTGAATATAAATGAACAAGGCCCTTCTGATCCAGACAGCAAGTGAGCTGACCCTGCTTGGCTGGGCTTTAGGTGACTTCCAGAGATCCCTTCCAGGCTGAAATGGTTCTGTGATAGTATGACATCAAGTGTAATGCCTGTCTTTTTTCCTGCACTTTAAGGGCCAGAACTCTTTTAAGTCATACTCTGCTTTAATACACATATTTTGCATAAAATATAAACTTATTATATAGTTTTTGCTATTCAGAAAATAGCTTAATTTTTATGTATCTACTTTGAAGAAGGCGGCAGCTTGGGGATCTTTCCCCCTATGTGTAGGAGGAAATGAGCAATACTCAAAATATGTGTTGCATTCTTCTAGCATATAACCCTGCATCGGCACCTGGATTTGCAAACGTTGGCTATGCACAGGGAAATCAGGTCCCCTATGGCAACCCGCAGTATGCACCTGGGAATTTCCAAGGTAGGTTGCTTGGCTACAGATCTGCTATTTTGTTAGGACATAAGCATGGGAAGCAGGAAGTTTCACCAGAGCAACCATCTTTGATTTACTTTTCTGATATTAATTCTGTAGAGTTTCTGGTAAATTCTATTTTGCTGAAAGTCTTACTCTTTTCTTGGTGTTAGTGTGTGCTGAGCAGTGCCAGTAGCGGAAGTTTAAAATGCTGGATGTTCTTCCTCACAGGTCACCAGTTGGAGTTTGTTAGGGAGGTGTCACTGGTGCAAAACAACTAATGTATGACAGCTTCTTGCTATTGACGAGATTTTTTAAATTGAAATGTTAGTTTATTTTTCTTCAGAAATCCAGAACTGAATAATTGTTTTCCTTTCACAGTTCTTCTGGTCATGTGGATCCTGTTGCTTTTTCCTACCCTTTTGCTGTACTTTGCACATACCCTTTCATTTCCTTTCCACTTTTTCTATCTTATGTTCCATGTTCAAAACACAGCACTTGTAAATAGTTTCTCATGTCCTGGCATCTAACTGTCTTCTGAAGAACCAAATCACAATAAGCAGTATCTAACAAGCTCTCAGAGCGTATGTTATGGATAAAGTGCAAAATGTTTGGCTTAGGTTTCTGTGTTGTATATAAGTTAAATCTTGCGTGTCTTGTAGCAAGGAAATCTGAGTTCTGCAAGTTCGCTAGACTTCAGCAAGGAATGAGCATGTGCTACCTGTACTACAAAGGTCAGGGGATCATATTTTTGTTCCAAATAATTGCGCACATACACTTACACAATGGTAGTCTGTGTGTGCAAGGCCTGTGCTCAGACGTACGAGGGAGTGTTACATAAGCGTGGTTCCTCACCAGAGGTGAGTGTTCCTGCTGGCTACAAGCTTTAAGCCGCTGTTCATCACCTGACTTATGGCCACAGCATCATCTTCCACATGTAATAGCCCATGTTTTGTAGTGTAGTATGAAACATTGGCGCTAAAGGTAAATCTATGAGTCAGCATCTCAAATTAGTTGTCTTTGTACAGCTCTACAAAAGTATTTGTGGTGGTTCCTACTTGTATTTTACTCGGAAGCACACAGAAACAAAATTCCTCTGCATCTGATTGAAGGTCTACTGGGTAGGGAAAATTTACAGTTCCTGTTTCATAACTTCCAGTATCAGCAGCATCAGCTGACCCAGCTGCAGGGGCCCTGGGCCGCTCCGTGCTGCGGGCGCCATCTGCAGGGCTGGGCGCTTACATGACGGGCCTGCTGCAGGAGTGCGGCTTGGAAAGCGCTGCCTTGGCCCTGGTAGGCCCTGGGGCTTTTTCCTTTGGTGTGCACCTCCTGCATGAGGGAGTTGTGAGTTTTGGGTGAGAATCCCCTGAATTCAACAAGCGGGAATGTACAGGTTTTCGATCCCACTCATTTAGTTTTAAGCTGGAGGTGAATTTTGCAGAAAGGACATTTCTTACCATGTAAGTAGAAGGTGTATTCTAGGAAAACTGTCTTAAAATTCGTCTGGTATTCATAAGTTGTCAACTGAGCAAATACTTTTCCTGTATTGTAATGTATTGTGTCATCTTTACTTATAAATAAATAGGATTATTTCTTTTTTAATTTTTGTGTGAATAAAATTTCTACTATATACAAGAGTAACATATTTGTTTATTTAACTTGTTTTTGTCTGGAGGGATTAGAACATCCCCGTCCATCATGAGTTTCGTGGGTCTGAGGATCTTCATGCTTCAGAAAAGTAAACAAGTCTTTTTGAAGATCCATGGTGCAGCAAGACCAAAGTTTCCTAACTGTATTTCTCCTTATGCTTAGGTGGTGCCGGAGCAGGGCCTTATGGTTTCCAGGCACAGCCCATGGGAGGCCCACCTGGTCTGGGTGGTCTACCAATCCAGAACCAGCCCACTGCCAAGGACGGGACAATCTGGATGCCCATCCCTCCTCCTCTTCCCAACTGCCCTCCCGGGCTGGAATACCTCACACAGGTACCTGCGGCCTTCCTCCTTCCCCAGGGAACAGGTGGTCACCTGAGAAGCAGCCTACATCTGTGGGAAAGCTAAAGAACACACCTGCCTTTGTTGCATCTGTCTTTTGGGCTGCTAAGTAAGGCCTTTTTTAATGTGAGTAATGCACTTTTGAATGTGGAGGTGCCTGTTACGGCCAGAGTACATTTTGGAGTACCTGTGCTCCTTCCAAGTGAGATGCTGAAGGGCAGGGGGCTTGGATGTATTATACGTCTTTCCTGTTTCTAAAGCTACTGTTCATGAGAAGTAATGTGATTTGACAAGGTGTTTAGAACAGATACGTATAATGTGGGTACCGGTAGCACCTTAGAGGTGCTTTCTTTTCTGTGTGATGCTTTCTCAGACACTAGTCAAGCTTCACAAACTTAGAGAATGTTCATTAGCAAAATGAGAATTGCTCCCATGTTGCAGGATACACCCTTGTCCTGTAAAAGCATGGTTTGTCTTATCACTGGGACTTAATACCAATATATTACCAGTTTTGCAAATTGCTCTAAAGGGGGGAAAAAAAGCTTCCTGAGTTTCACTCAGAGCTGAGCTTCTGCTCTAAAATTTCTGAATTTCATGCTAGTGACTCCTGCTTCTCTCTGTATAAATTCCTGACGTAGCTATCTGGGATGTGTGGTGTTCAAGGATTTGTTAGCCTCTGTAGCAATGCTGAGATACACTACGTCCTGAAAGGAACACAGGCACGTTCGTCCTGTGTGCTTGTAACCAGACCAGCTTAGGTACAGCACCATCTTCTGTGGTGCTCTCAAACGCTGTTCTGCTCTACTGACAGAGGACAGGACAGGGAGGACGTGAGCCATGTCCACAGCTTTGCTAGTAGACGATCAGTCTCTAGGCAATGTATTGCTCCATAAATTTGCATTCTGAAAAAAACAACAATGCTTCTTAAAACTATATTTCTCATATTAACTGTTTATTGTTTCATTTTTCAACCATGAACAGATTGACCAGATATTAATTCATCAGCAAACTGAACTTCTTGAGAGTAAGTGAAAAGTGTTTATCACAGAGAAAATATTTAAATCTAAGAGTCCCCAAAACCCTTAGTTTAGACTTTCTTTGATGCTGCTTGTTTAAAATAGATCCTTTCATGGATTGTTCCCTCTCTCTTTCCTGCCTCTTATCTGTCTTAATTCCCACAGAACTTGTGGAGGAGAGGAGGGAAGAAGAAAACAGGAGGGTAGAAAAAGATTTTAAACTGGTTCTGTAGCTTAAAAGATACACAGCAATGCTGTGTATCTGCTGAGTAATCTTTGTAACCAGTTGTAGCTGAAATCACTGATTTCCCATGCTATTCATTCATGATTGCAGCTTTCCTCTCTTCACTACTTTTTATGTCTCCTCTTGCTCCATCTAATTCATTGGGCTGGCATGCTGCTCCAATTCCATTTCCAGGCAGTCTTGTTCTTCTAGTTTATTGAACTACTTTCCTTCTGCTCCTGTCATTCTGTTCACTTTAAGAATATCAAAGTTGTGTTATCAGTGTATTTCAAACAGAATAAATGAAATGGACCTTCCATCTCAGCGGACACCTAATGCTGCTGCTTTTGCTTTCCATAATATTTCAAGGGAACTTCTATTTGTTGGAGAAATTAATCAAAATTTCAGCCCTAGTTCTTGCTATTTTCTATTTGTGCTGCTTTAAATCTTGACTGTGAGGCCTTTTCGTGGCTTTCTCATTCTGAACATATTCATGCCCTCTGGATCCCTGTTCTTGCTTCACCACTAAACTTAAAATTGTTCCTAATTTTCACACCTTCAGCTCTTCCCTAGGAACCTTCCATGCTGCGTGACTTAGAGTGGCAGTGCTCGCTCTGGCAGTGGGTGCCCATGTCTGGTGGGAGGGGAGCTGATGGACATTTCTGTGCTCTTTCTATGTTGCCATGTTCATGATGGCTTGTCCTCACTGAACTTCTCTGTGGGGCTGGCCTGCTTGAGGGCCCTTTGCCAGTAGCTGCCTGACAGACTCCAAATGAGACCTTCCCAAACAGTAGTGTAGAAGTAGCATGGTGGCTTTTCTTACTGTTTTTCACACAGACACACCTAACAAAACAGTTAATTCCTTACTATTTTTCAGTTTTCCTTGGATTTGAATCAAACAACAAATATGAAATCAAGAATACGTTGGGGCAAAGGATATACTTTGCGGTAGAGGACACTGACTGCTGTACAAGGAACTTCTGTGGGCCATCACGACCTTTCACCATACGGGTTATGGACAATCTGGGTCATGAGGTGATAACACTGCAGAGACCCCTGAGGTGTTCGTCGTGTTGTTTCCCCTGCTGCTTACAGGAGGTGAGTTGTTCCCTCAGTATATGGGATGATTTTGTTTTTCATGTTAATAATTATGGGACGTTTCAACTTCTGAGGCCTCAAATCTGAATCTACTCAGAGCTTTTACTGATGAGTTTGTAGTAGCTGCTTTCTGCGAGGTATTCACTGAATGCTTTCAGGATGTCCAGAGTATTTTCTTTACTAGAATTAAATCTTTCCACTGCAGACATATAGCTTGTATGTTCTATAGCCTTAGGAGTATGTTTCTGCTTTCAGTGAGGGCAGAAGTTGCATTTGGATTTGTGGTTCTGTAGTTTTCTTAAAACAATTGCAGCTTCATTTGAAAGCTGGATTGTTGTGGAAAAATAAACTGTGCTTGGTTTGCGCGTTAGTGTGGGTTTTTGTCTAACAAACATATCAAAGCATGAACTGCTTCACATGGGGGGTTTCTTTCTCCTGTGAAGATAGAAATTCAAGCACCTCCAGGAACACCAGTTGGTTATGTTGTCCAGAACTGGCATCCCTGCCTACCCAAGTTCACTATTCAAGATGAGAGAAGAATGGATGTACTGAAAATTAGTGGCCCGTGTGTTGTCTGCAGCTGTTGTGAGGATGTTAATTTTGAGGTATGCAATGCAAAAATTGTTTGTGTATATCTTCTTTCAGATAGTTTGACAATAGTTTGTTGCTTCACTTACTATCAGTCAGCTGTATGTATTAAGTAAGGAGAACATAATATTTTAATGCTAATACAATAAATTCACTTCTCTAGATCATTCTAAGTAAGCCAGCTAAATTTCCGGAAATGGCATCTTATGGCCAATCATCAGTGATCTGATTTCTTGTGATTGCACACAAGGAATCAGATGGATTTGTAATGGATATATTTAAAGCAAAATCTTTTGAATCCATTACGTTAGTTCCTAACAACAAAAAAAGTTATTTTCTGTTGTATCAGCTGTTTATTAAAATGACCTTCTGCAACCACTCATTCAATCATGTAATAATAATTCAGTAACAAGTAAAGGGACATTATTTATAGCTGAAACTTTAACTAGAATGAGTGAAGAATTACAACTTCCGTTTAAAAATAAGGTATTGATGCATCAGTATTTTCATACAGATTAACTAGTAGACACTAGTCTACTGCATTGTTTAAAGTGATGTTGTGGATCACTGCTAAACCAAATCTAGTATGATTTTATTTTGGGGATTAGTCTTTCACGTGATTCAGAACACAGGGTACAATTTCAGGAAAAGTGTTAACCTCTGCTTTGGAACAGGAGAATGTAATTTGTTTGATTTTTTTTTTTTTTTTTCACTTGAGCCATTCCTGAGGTATGGGAGGAGAAACTAATTCACTCTCTTGGCTAAAAGACAACATTCCCAATGGAATGTGTGCGTGCTTGCATGCAGTAGCTGTCCTCCAGTACTGTTAAAACATTGAACATTGCAGTCAGATTTAGAATTAGATATCTTAATTCAGACTGACTTTCTGATAGTCAGGGTTGTTTTTCTATACAAATGGCTGCATTCAGTGACTGCATTAATTTAAGTAACACAATTTAAAGCTTTCTGTTAGATCTATAATGAAAATAATTTGGGAATATTGTAAATGATGGAATTGTTGCTGTTTTTTTTTTGTTTATTAAACCAGGTAAAGACTTTGGATGAGATTTCTACCATTGGGAAGATTTCTAAGCAGTGGACTGGATTTTTGAAAGAAGCGTTTACAGATGCAGATAACTTTGGAGTTGCATTCCCAATGGACCTTGATGTAAAAATTAAAGCAGTCATGATTGGCGCTTGCTTTCTTATTGTAAGTCTGTAGTTCACTAATCCTCGAATATGAACTGACTTCTTCGTCTGAGCATTCAAACTGTGCTTGGTAGAGTTTGATTCTGAGCTTTTCAAAGTGAGTGAGGGTTTGTTGTGGACTTCCTGTGCCTAAAGCTAACCCTGGAGGGAGTGCAACAAAGAAGCATTTCAGATAATAAGCTTATTTTATTATCACATGAAGTGATAACTGTATTTAAGAACAGCTTCATGTGTGTTAAAATTGAGAAATCCTATAAAAGGAAGACTGCTTTACAGACTCTTTAGAGATGAGCATGTTTATGTGGATGGTGAGACCAGAAAAGTGCAGATCAGCAATAGCCAAGAGACTCAACCAAAGCCAGAACAGTTCACTTCAAAAGTGCACTGTTTCCATGTTGGCAGGGCTCAAGAGGGAGAAGAAAGGTACATACACAGCATCTGCGTTTGGAAAATTCTCACCAGTTTTTACAGCCCAGCTCATGAACCAGGTTTTCTTTAGCTGTGTGTGTTCAGGTGCTATGATGTACGTGAAGAGTAGTGAGTACGAATGAGGACTCCAGGCACAGAATATGTGCTTTTCCCCTTCCTCTCCTGTAAACTAAAGATAATGGCATTTAAACTAAACTAAAGATAATAGACTTATCTTTAGACTATCTTAAAGATAGACTAAAGATAATAAACTAAAGATAAACTAAAGATAATAGATTCCAGCTTGAGGTGAAATTGAAGAGACTGAGTCAGGCTGAAGGAAGACAGGATGGAAATCCTAAGGAAGTATAATTTACGTTAGTGATAATTTTAGTTTCCATCTACATAGTTTCTGAATAGTTTCCATCTGCAGCTTTCACCACTTCTTTCTCTCTCTGTGGATATCCTTTTACCTCTACATGACACCCAGGGATAGAGGCTGGAGAGGGGTACCCCCAGCTGCTTCTCATCATCCAAAGTTTCTGAGGGGAGGGTGCTTTGAGTATCTTGCAAAATAACCACAAACTAAGAACCAGATTTTAAAAATACTGTTTTTGTTTGCTTTTTGTTTTCTTCTTAGGATTTCATGTTTTTTGAGCGTATTGGTGATAACCAGCAGCGAACAGGAGTGTGGCAGTGAAACCCAGAACTTTTTATTTAGAATGAAGGAAATAAACCACCCAGCTTTCCAGTGGGTTGCAGAGCTCCCGTGAGAATATGAAAAATGTATATCTTGTGCTTGTAATTATATTTGTATAAACTCTTTATAGAGCTTTATTGTCTAGCTTCTGTTTTTGTAATCTAATCATATTATTTGTAGTATTAAAATAAGCACCCTTTGCCTGTACAGATAAATACTGTAGTGTATAACAATATATAGTAACCTTTTTCCAATAAATTTGGAATTGTTTATTAAAAATTCTTATTGTAATTCCTAGAACAAAAAAGTAGTCTTTTTTTTATATTAATATAAGCAGTCAGCTTAATAAAGAGGTCCTGATCTTTTCCTATTGTTATAAATTGCTTAGTCCCAAAATAGGATTTTAATCAAAGTTTACAATTTATTAAAAGAATAGAGGTAAGCAAACAGTGCTGGGTGCGTTGGGAGTCTCCGCTCCACCTAGACACACACCAGTTATATCAAGTAGCTGATTTTTATGCTCCTAGGCTAATTCATATTCATTACTACTTCTGAGAAAAAACAGGTTATTATAATTAGCTTCCGGGATCCAAACCCTCCTACTGGAGCATGCGCATCCGTCTCCGGTGGTCTCTCTGGCTCTGGGGGTCTTTCATGCTGAAGGCTTGTAGTCTTCCTCTCAGTTTTTTTTTTTTTTTTTTTTTTGTCTTTCCCCTTTTGTACTCCTTGGCAGCATGTCAAAAGCTTACACAGTGTCCCCTGCAAGTTTTGTCTTCTAGCCATCCTTCAGCTTCTTTCTTTCTTCTCCTTAATCTCCTGGCCACCTGGCCAGATATCAGGGGCTTGCATAGTGTCCCCTTCAGAAGCCATAGCAGTTACTAGTTGTTAGCAGTTGTTCTGAAATCCCCAGACATCAGAGACTTCAAAGAAAGAACATACAAATACAAATAGCTCTCTATTGACACTTCAGGTGTTGTTAAAACATTCCTCACAGGCCATTCACAGGGACACTCCAGTCACATCTATAGCAGTGCTAAATCAACCACAAAGAAGGCAAAAAGGCTGTAACTGTTAGGAATAAGAGTTCAGAATAACAAAAGCAAATAGGCTCATGGATTTGAGGAATATTTCTGAAGATTTGATAAATTGACTATAATGAGGGGGAGAGTGGGACACTGGGAGGAAAGGGAAGAAACCACATCTGTGGAAGAATTAAATTGCCAGTGCAGGACCCAGAGACAGACAGAACTGCTCTCTATTGACACGAATTGTTAAAATATTCCTTTGCTAGGTACAAGAACTATAAACATTAACCATTCTGTTTTTCTTAGACTTGTGGTTATACAAGGGAATGTAAGACAGAAGGTCACATTCATCATACCATGCAGCCCTAGCACTGTTCCATACTGAAACGAATCAGATGAACATAAGTCACTGTGTCCTTCTTTGATAGTTTCAGCTTGGTGTTGATATTGTTTCCAGCTTATCAAGTATATACATTCGAAACAAAGTATTCAAAATGAACAGAGATATCAGAAATCATTGCAGAATTGTATTAATCTTATGATGAATCAGCTGTCAAATATGACTCATTTAGTGTAACAGTTCCCTAATTTTCCTTGGCTGTTTTAAAACTTACGATTTTGATTTTCAACAACAGAAGTTAGAGGAGACTGGAAACATAAATGCCTGTGGTTGCTTCTATTTAATGATCCTCTAGGAATTGCCTTGTGTGTTTTTTTTTCTTTTTTTCCCTGAGGCAAGGAAAAAGTAGCTTTCAGTTTCTTCAGTCACTTAGTCCATAGTTTCCACAGTTTGCAAGTCTTTAGATATGATGGTGCAGGAATAATAAACAGAACAATCCCACTTCAAAAGCAGATGCATGAAATGACACATTTATATCTTGTCATTTATAACTTTATTTAAAAGTGCAGGCAATGGAGAAGTCGCTGTTTCTTACCCCAACTTCACACAAGAATGTGTGCATAGCAGTTCTTGGGATCTAACTACAAGGACAGATTCTTGCCAGTATTTTGAGTTGTATTCTAATTTTGTTAAAGATTTCTTTTGTTCAGGATTTTCAATTTATTGATGGCTCCTGGCCAGTCAAAGAGCAGAGGAGTATCATTGCTGCTACGTACTGACTCTTAGATGTTCTAAGAATAGTATAAATCCATTATGACAATGTATATTGTTATGAAATTCTTTAAAATTGTCTTTTATGCCATTTTCAGGTTAACTTTTGCTGCTAACAACAAAATTCCTTGAATATAGTGGTCTTTGAGGATTGTTGGAGATAGGCTTTGGTTAATCAGTGCTGTTCTTAGGGAACAGTTGTGCCTTTTTTTGGCCTGAAAGCACCATCAGCCCAACCTGCATGCAAAATTAGACATAAACATTCATATACATCTCTGTAGAGCAGTAAGAGAAGAATTTGAGAATGGAAAGAGCTGCGAATGTCCAGCTTCACATCAAGATGTAGGAAAAATATGTATTGTAAGTAAGAAAGAAGTACGAGCTAAGCCTCCTAGATTTGCCAGAACTGCTGTAAGAACAGGGAAGAAATTCCATAATCTTGAGTCTTGAAGGCATGGAGAGACCCCTGGACTAGGGGAGCTTTCCATCACCTGGATAGTTCTGATACTAGGTTCCACAGCTCCGAATCTTTTGCCTTGTTTCAGTCTCTCATGACACTGAAAATATTGCATGAGAAGTCCTAACTGAAGCTACCATGGGATAACTCTTTAGTTAACCAAGTGGTATCTTACCACTGTCATAGTCATTTACCTTTTCCTAATCTATTTAGCCGAAAAATTGTTACTCCTTAAATTTTTCAAGAGCTGCTGGAAGCAGCTATATTCACTTGTGCATTTATGAAACTGGTTGTGCTAAGTACAGAACAGATCATTCTTTGAGCAGTCTTTTTTCATTCTGGAGAACCCATGACAGCTTTCATACTTAGTAAATAACCAGGCTCTAGAAATGCACACTTTTCATCCATTGGGCTTTAAGCAATACAATGACATCCCCATAGTCATAAATCCAGCCTTTGGAAAGCATGAGAAGTCCTTCAGCATGCTGCCTGTTATTCAATTCCACCTCAGTTAGATAAAACTGTTACATAAAACCTTTATAGAGTGAGATTTGCAGATGGATTTCTCTAGTGCTGTTGATGACCTTTCCATCTGCATCATCCCTCTATGGTTTTCATCTCCAGCTGTACAGGAGATGCAATTGCCTAATGAAACCCTAGGGTACATAGGGCATAATTTATACAATGTTTCTTGGTAAAAAATGTGTGATTAATTTCACTTTCCCAGAAACCAAAAGCAAGAAAAGAAAAACAAAAACCCTACCCCTTCCTTAGTCCCAAAGCAAAATTGCAAAACTGGTTTTCTGCTAATTGACGAGAGGATAATATTGCGAACTGGAGATGAGGAGTATCCTTGTTTTAAAGTATGTTATATTCCAGTTGGTGTCCTAAAGTTGTCTGTATTCCTGAATATGAATATGAATGTTAATGCTTTGTGACAGAAATACTTATGAAATTGTTGAATGCTAAAGATAAGTGGATGGTGCCAGGGTGGAAGTTGTAGAGTCAGGGGCTCACACATAAAGGAAGCTCTCATGATCAGAAGGAAATAAAGACTTCCTGCATGGAGGAGAAACTACGCAACAAGATGAAGAAGCCACTTCAGTCAAAAAAGCAATTGTGTAATGAGACCTGATCTTGGAATCAGTGATACGTTAGAGTGAGAGGTATTAAAGCAAAACAAAAGTAACAACTGGCCAGTGAAATAAAGAAAAAGCTACAGCCCTTCTGGGGTGGAGGGAAGAGGCCAGGTATCAGAGAGATCTGTTGTCTTAGATCAGTCTGTGTAAGGGCATGATTTCATGATACATGCTCATACGGTCTATGCTTATGTACTGGATCGGAACACTAGGATTCAAATGCATTACTCCACATGGTTCCCTTTTTTACATTTTGCCTCCAAACCTGAACAACAGTATGGAAATAGGGTTGTGGTGGAAGGCAGGCAGCTAAGTCTTTGCGTGGCCCTAAGCCTCAAGAGGCTGCTTCTGGATCTATGTGCTACTTGTATATCTTTTGGATGGCCACAGCTAATTTTTGTTGTATCCTAGAGAAGTCACAAACAAAAGCACCTGAAGTTTTTGTTGGGTTATTTGGCTATAAAGCTTCTTTTGGGAAGGTGTTGCTGTCTTTTATTCTCCTTATGGTCTCTTCCTCTTTTTCCGCTCCCATTCTCTCCTTTCTTGTTTTTTTTTTTTTTTTTTTTTTTTTTTCTGTTATGTCGTTTACTGTCAGTGAAGTAAAACAAAGCAAAGCTCTCTCCTAGGTGCCTCCTGCCTTCCCAGCACACAGAAAAATGATGGTGAATCTTTGGGCTTTTGTTTCCAAGTGTTTGGTTTCAAGTGTTTGGTTCTGAGTAGAAGAGAAGGTGAGGAAATTAAAAAAAAAAAAAAAAAAAAAGTGAAGAAGCCCCAAACCTCCATATAATATATAAAACGTGAGGTATCTCTATTTATCTATTTATTTCCTTAGGATTGCTCCCATCCCTGTTTCTGTGATCATTTTGAAGAAACCTGTGTATGATCTGCAAGAAAGACACCCATACAGGTTTTGTTCTGGAGATCCTGTACCCTGTGTTCAACAGAGATACTCGACAGATGGCTTGGTTTACCATTATTTTTTTTTAATCTGCATTTTATTTTTAGCACGGTGTTTTAAAAACAGCAAGGAGGGGGAAATGCCCAGAGGACATTGCAGGAGCAGCCACCGTGGTGCTGAGGCCTGTGTCCGGCTCCTCAGGCGCCATGCTGGGCTCTGCGGACGGTAGGTGGCATTGCGAGCGCAGAGATGGCGCCTGTGCCGCTGCGGCCTGCACCCTTAGCTTCCGTCAGCTGTCGCTAGCTGTCGTCCTGCTGTTTTCTGTGGAAGAACCGCAGATTACGCTATCTCCAAAGTATGTTTTCCCTACATGCGTGTGGAAAGCTAGATGGGCTTTCCCATCAAAGCTGCAAAATCCTGAGCCTCGATGCGGCTACGTGCTGCTAGGCAAATTAAAAAGTGCATGTGGAAGTACGCTAAACCATGACTGTTTAAGGAAACCCAGCCAATTACAGTGTAGTGCACTTGAAGTTGCATTACTTAGTAAATGAAAGAAATTGGAATTGGATTATGATTTCTGACATGATTTACTGCAGAATGAGAAAGTTATTAATGTATCCCAGGAACGACCATGAAAGCACACAGGCTGGTTTCATTGCTTATTAAA